TGCAGCTGTGCCGCGACCGTCTCCTCCGCCGCCTCCACGGCTCGCTTGGTCTCCTCGTCCATGTCCTCTTCCTGCATGTCGAGCTCCTGGGCGATGTCTGTGAGCAGCTGGCCCTCCGACAGGCTGTCGATTTCGCCCGAGATGAGCTGCTCCACTATGCCTCGCCCTGGCGTCACTGTCTCCTCGCCTTCCATGTGGATATCTTCGATCTCCGCCTCTGCGCTCAGCGCTGCCTCGGCCTTCTGCGAGAGCGTCTTCGTGGCCTGCTGCGCCGCCTCTTCTGCCTCCTGCTGGTGCTTATAGGCCGTCGCATACTGGCGGTTGGCCGTCTCGAGTGTGCGCGCCGCCACCGCCAGCCTGACCGCCTTCGACCGCGGTGGTGGCGGCGCGGTGGCTGCTGCCTGCTGGAGGGCGTTGGCTGCCCCTACCAGCTGGCGCTGGATCGCCTCGCCGTTCTCCAGCTGCATGCCGCCGAGCGTGCTGGTGACCGCCTGGGGCGCCTGGGCTAACTCGGCCGTCGTCTGGCTGCCCTTGGCCGCGCCCTTGCCCCCCTGGCCACCTCTGCTGTCGCCATGGTGCTCCTGCCCGAACTTGGCAGCATCTTCCCGCAGGCGCGCCAGTGCCGCGCGGCGTGGAGCCGGTCCTTCCACCGCCACCCCTTGCAGCTCTTGCATGTGACGTACTCCCAGTCGTGGTGCTGCTGCTGGTGGCACTGCTGCTGGTGCTGCTGCTGGGCCCCCCAGGTGCTGCTGCTCCACCTGGGTTGTCCTCCTTCGGAACCGGAGAGGGCCCAGCTTCGCGCCCGCGGCGCTGGGGGCTGCCACGTTGGGCCCGCCGCGCCCCGCCCGCCCCGCGGGCGAAACGGCTGCGGGGCCAATCCATCGGAGCTGCCTGGAGGAGGAGGAGGAGGGGGATGGGGGGGGGGGGGGAGGAGGAGGAGGAGGAGGACGAGAGGAGGAGGAGGAGGAGGAGGAGGAGGAGGACTTCTACTACTACTAACTCCTCTCGGGGAGAAGTTTCGAAGCAGATCTGAAACCACCCTAGGATCGGCATGCAGCCGAGATTTGGGGCCTCCAGCCCACCCTGAAGGCACCGGGGGTTTCGGGGCCCGAACCAACCGACCGCCGCCCCCCGCGAGAAGAGGGTAGGGAAGCAGCCAGCAAGCACGAGAGCCGAGAGGCAGCACGCAGAGCGGAGGGCCAGCGAGGAGCGAGAGGGGAGGGAGTGAGGGGCAGCGGCACAAGCGGCAAGCACGCAGCAGCAAGGGGGGTGGGGTCCCACTGCGCCCTGGGCCGCTTTTGGGGAGGGGCAACTAAATTTGCGACTGAATTGCAAAACGCGCCCCCCTCCACCCAAGATTCCGAAAATGCCCTTGCGTTGCTCTGGGGTGCGTCGGGGGGGGGGGGGGGGGGGGCGTCTCCTATCAGGTCCAGGATTCGGGGTGGGAGGAGGCCCGACGACGGAGGAGGAGGAGATGTCTCTCGTCGAAGGCGGTCTCCACTGGCCTCACCGCTGGAGGCCCTTCTTCTGGTGGTGGTAGGTGTCCACCATCCTTCTTCTCGATATTGAGCACCCTGCCAATGTCGTGTTCCCGCTTGGTCCTTCCTAGACGTCGTCCAGGCACGCGTTGAGGATCCGCTCCAGGTGCTACATCGGGGCCGCTCCGTTCTTCGAGGCTCCTCCCAGCTGCTCCAAGCAGGCGTGCAACGGCTGCAGCATGTCTAGCTTCGTGATCGTGATCCTCGCGTCCGTCTCCTTGAATGTGGCCTGCGCATTTACTGGTGAGAACAACTCCGCCGCCTGTTTCGGCGTCATCTCTGCGATCTCGTTTTTGATGGTTTCCAACTCCTTCTGGTTCTTCTGGCCGGCGGCAACTCGATCAGACCGACCATGGCCGCGCAGCTTATGGTGTTCAGCGTCTTCTCGTCCTCTTTGTTTCGCTGTCGTAGCTCTTGTGCCTTGTCGATCCACGCCTTGACCCTCCCTCTCGCCTTCACCACGGGCTCCGTGTTCGCGCCAATAATGATCGTCGTCAGGGTCACCGCCTCCGCCTGTCGCGTCCGCATCGCCAAGTTGAGCGCCATCTTCATCAGCACAGGGACCAAGGAGCGAAGCGTCTCCACGTCCATCTTCTCGAGGCCCTCCAGCTCCTCCTGCGATGCGACTCTGTTGTTCTGCTTCTGTCCACTCGTCTTGTCGCGACGTTCCGTCTGCTTTCCTCCTTCTCCCTGGTCTTCGCGATTCCGTCTCCGTCCGCTTCCTCCTTCGCCCCCTGCGCCCTGCCCCTCCGCCGCCAGCGACGGTGCCGGGTCGAACAGGCCCCCCATCACGCGTGGCAGGAAGCAACGGGATGTCCCACTTGAATACGGGCAGCGGTCTCGGCAAGTGTCGGCGCAGGTGCGCCTGGAGCTCCCCGAACCCCTCAAATAGCTCCGGATCAGGACCGAAGGGGCAACTTCGCTCGCATGGGTCTATGACGGTGTGGTTGTAGGGGCTGACACCCACTCGGCATTTTCCTTGCTCGTACGCGTGCTGTAAATGTCGTGCCGCCGTCTGTCTATCCTTGAAACTCCTGCATGCTACACATTGGTTCGTCATCGTGATCTTCTCCGTCGTCCTCTGTCCTCCATGCTGCCCTCCCTCTGCCTGGCGCTGATGGACGAGGAGGGCTCTTTTGCTCTTGAAACGCTTCGAGCACGGTAGGCCGTCAGCGTCATGCATCTCACATTCGTAGTCGCCGTCTGCGTGTTCACCTGGTTCCTGTACTTGTTGTGTCGCGCCAACCCCTCGTACGTTGTCTGCCCTTCGACGCATGAGCCACTCGCTGCGAAACTGTTTGGCGTCGAGGGGGGTGAAGGCCGCGTTGACCTCCGTTTCCGCATCGAAGAGGCTCAGGTTGTCACCGCTCATCATCTCCAGGATATGCGCCCCCTCCGTCACAGCCATGTAGTCAACGTCCTCTCTGAATTGGACCGCCCAGGGATTGGTGTTTGCCGTGCTCGTATACTTCATGGCCTCGGCGGGGAACCACTGGCACTCGCTGTCCTTCTCCACCTCAATCTCCAGGTCGCCGAATGCCGCCGCAATCTGTTGCTTGTGCCAATCAGGCTTCCGCGCGATCGCCTGCCACCCTATCAGCCGCTGCACCCGAAGTCCAATTGCTGTCGGGACTAGCCCCAGCCGGAGCCAGATCTGCAGTGCAGGGGGTGTGCGTAAAACTTCCGAAACCCCTCCGCGTCCGTCATCCACCTCAACTCGTACTGCCATTCCGTCAAGTAGTACCCGTCCGAACTTCAGAATTTGGCGATCCAGTTTGCCCGTCTTCGCCGTGCTGAGCACCAGTCCAGTCAATCCATACGTGGCGGCACCCATCACCATGCTCCGAATCGCAGTCTTCTTGACCTTCCACTGCATGCACGTCGCCCAGAACTTCTTCATGAAGTACCATCCGCGTCGGGCTGCTGCGCGCCGTGCCGCAATCTCGGGCCAGAAGATGCCGCTGCCAGTGGAAGTGGCCACGAGAAAGGTAGCAACCTTCAGGCTGGTGCCTGGGATATCGCCGTCCGTGTGGCCGTAGAAGACGTGTATGCTACAGGCGTTGGAGCCGGGGCCGACGTGGGGCGGGTTCGCTGCCTTCTTTATTTTGCTCTGCACAACTCCAATCTCTCGCAGTGCCGTGTCCAGCTGCTTGTCGGAGTACATGACGATGTGCCTCGTGTGGGCAGACTCGACCGCGCGGTGCGTCTCGTTGGCATCGTCGGCAAAGGCTCGGAGCGATAGGTCCACCAACTCGTCTGACAAGGGGTAGCACGCCATCAGCTCTTTGGGGTACTTCTCATGGTGAAGCTGCTGCAAGTGCCTAACAGGCACGGTGAACGCCTCCTGGATCACGATGGCCGCGTTGGAGTCGCCCATGTAGTTGCCTTCTTCGTTCTTCATCGTGATGACCTCTCCCTCGGCCTCAATCTTGAAGCAGGCTCGACGATGTCGCTGGACAGGGATCTTAGCTTCGCTTTCTCGATAGAGTCCGCGGGCCGCGCCATCAGACTGAGGGTGTCGGACTGAGGCGAACGCGTTCTGCATGTCGTGCTTGGCGCCTAC